TCCACACTATCTAATTTAGTCTTCATCAGACCTATAAGACAAATGCTATTGTTCTCCTAAATTCGTAACTTGCTACTCTTTTGATCCAACTCAGTTCTTATTCACAACACATTACAATGTGCAATTATTTTAAAATTGTTCATTTGTATTTGAATCTCTCTTCCTCTCTAGACTGTAAGCTCTATAAGTCTTCATCTTAATATCCCCAATATCTGGAATAGTAGCTACACATAGAAAATGTCTAATGAATGTACAGTAAATATGAAAGGAAGGCTAGAATGAAAGCAGACAAAAAAGAAGAGAATGAGCACATTTAAATTACCAAGTAATAAACTCTGGTCCAGGGCCATTTGATTCCTAAACTGATGCCCTTGATAACTAGGTAGAATTGCTTCCTACTACTCATAACTAACTTTAAATGGATGTAGGTTGACAAAATCCTCTCCTCAACTTTTTGTAAAAAAATTATAGCAAGCATCTAAATCAATAGAAGTAAACCTAGACATAGGAAAGAGAATTGTAGGAGAATAAATAGAGGACAGTTTTCATCAATAAAAGAACATAGGTGGGGAGATGACACCCTGCCCCTTGTTTCAAAGGAAATAAAGGAAACATTTGTAATAATTAACTCCACTACAAGATGATTGTATCATAGAATGTGTGTGTGTATGTAGTTTTCAATTTCAAATAACTCTGAGAGTAATTGACTAATGAGTGATTTATAAATAATACAAAATAAACAGATATCACTGATTTGATAGTTATGGAGTGATACCAAGTTTAAGTAGATGATTATTTCCAAATGTTTTTTTTAATTTGTTACTAATGCATTCTTATTCCAGAGTGCTATTTCTTTAATCCAATTAGCTAGAAGGCACTTATTCACAACCACTCAGCAACCTCTGACCTCTTAAGGAGTTGTCACATTAGCAGAGTAGGAGAACCAGTATGGCAGGATGTGTTCTTCAGACTTAGTAAAGGCAATTTGAAGACAACTTGATATTCACTAGCACTTGCATTCAGAGTATCCTTGGCTGCCACAAGTAGTGCATGGGAAAATGAGAAATCTCTTTCTCTAGTGATGTGGGACTAGTTTGATAAAACACCTAAGGAAATTGCTAGATATCCATATCAAGTCTGGAAAGTGAATCAGGCCGGAACTTAACAATTATACCACTCAGTGATGATTCTAAGTAGACATTTAGCATAGCATGTTTTGTTAGTGTGGACATTAAATCCGGATTACAGATGCATGCCAGTAATCCCAGAGATGATCATATGGGATTTCTCTTTGAGAGTAAAATTTTACATGCTTGCTTATGTGTATGAGTGTGCCTATATGGGAAAAAGATTATAGCTAATAAGATCAAACCAAATTATTAGTGGGGTGTATCTATCCCTGGTTGTAACTCTAAGCTAATTCCTGCATGGATTCAATTGTCCTAGACATCTGAGAGTCAGCTTAGCAACAGTGCCATTTTTTAAAGACAATTTATCATTCTGATCAGGCATGCAAATAATCAACGAATAGCATTGCATAAAATTGCTTATTGTGCCCAAAGTTAATATAACTTGACTTTTGTTAGTCATTTATTCAAATGGCTCTTGGATATCTATTTTAAACCTGACACTGAATTAGGAATTGGGAAAACAAAAATGCCTCAAACCCTGTTCTGACCTAAAGGAGCCATAAGCTAGTGAAAGAGAGATGTATACCCAATAGCTATAATTCAAGGTAGTCAGTAGTGAATGCTCAGTTCTTCTTGCTTCCTGGAATGCTCTTCTAACCTAATCCTCCATTTACTATCTTGAAGAAAATTGTATCACTCCTTAAGGACTCATTTCAAATTATTCTTTCCCAGCAAAGGCTTCTCTGATATTCCTCATCTCCTCTACCCCCAACACCAAACATATATACCCAAACCCTTTCCTATAACTTTAATTACTTTTCTGTGTTCCCATAGCACTTTACTCATAGTTTTATTATAGAACTCATTACAACAATTTATATTTGGTTGATTATATGCCTGTGCCTCTCACTATGTTGCAAGTTCTTCAAGAGCACTAACTGACTTTTGTTCATCTCTGAACTCCTCATCAAAATCAACTCATAGATAAAATTTTATGAGAATATATAGGGAAGAGTAGTTAAGTCCATAATTCCAGTGAGTTGACTTTATAGACAAGGTGGCATTTGAGATGACCCTTGAAAAAATGAGTATAATTTGACATATAGAAATGGGTGTTGGGGGAAGGGAGGAAGACAAAAAGGGCCTTTATTAGTTTTGTTTGTTTGTGGTGTACTAGGGATTGATCCCAGAGGTACTTTACCATTGAGTTACATCACTTTATTTATTTATTTATTTATTTATTTATTTTTAATTTTAAGGAAGAATCTCACTAAATTGCTTAGAGCCTCACTAAATTGCTGGGGCTGGCTTTGAACTTGTGATCCTCCTGCTTCAGCCTCTTGAGCTGCTGGGATTATAGGCATGCACCATTACACCCAGTGAGAAGGGCTTTTTAAAGCAGCACTTCTTAACAATTTCAAAACTTTATTCATTGTGGCAAAATAATGCTGTTAATTACATATGTTCTATATCTGTACATGTAAGCAAGCCTAAGCAGGGGACTGTATTTACTAGAATTTTAGCAGGCATTTGGAATTAATATGCATTTTGAAAATGGTAATACTGTATTGTTCTTTTTAAAAATTGACATTCTAGATCATTTTCACTTCCTCCTTCCCCACCCGCAAAATAGTCCAGAATTTGGCTAGGTTGGCACATTGTAAATTCTCATTCTTTGATCTCAAATCCTGTGTTGAAAAGAATTCCTGATTTTCTCATATTTCCCAGGACTGCAGATTCAATGATTAGCCAAGCTACTGCTGCTAAAAAGGAAAAAAAAAAAATCGCATTGAGGCCCAGTCCTTCTAACCCTACCTGCTTACTCAGAGTCATTCTCCAGTCACCAGAGAAAATCAAAGTCTGAACTTGATAATCTCTGAAGGTCCCTTCTGGTTATAACATTCCCTAAAATCTTGTCTGCTCTAGCTGGAGATTGGAAGTCTAGATGAACCTAATTGTTACTATGTAAACTCTTGACCCAAAGGATATTTGATGCCCCATGTTTATTTTCTTGATAATATTTACAGGGAGGCTATTTCTAGCCTCAAGATATACCCTCCTAAGAGAGCTCTGAAAATTGGGTGTGAAAACTACAGTTCCTACAGATGGAGAAATCAGCAGCCCTGAAATATGGCTTCTGACTGCAGTAATGAATGCTTAGGGCCATCAGTCACTCTTTTTTTTTTTAGAGAGAGAGAGAGAGAGAATTTTTTTTAATATTTATTTTTTAGTTTTCAGTGGACACAATATCTTTATTTGTATGTGGTGCTGAGGATCAAACCCAGAGCCACGCGCATGCCAGGCGAGCATGCTACCGCTTGAGCCACATCCCCAGCCCAACCATCAGTCACTCTTTGTGGGGGATGTGTGTGTGTGGGGGGTGTTTATTGGGGAGGAGACAAAGGCAACAGAGAAGAATGTCAAAAACTAATATTTCAGAAATATAATCTTTGGATATTTTCATTTGCTTGTTCTGACCAATCAGTAACCAAAATAGAACATTTATAAATAACCCGACCAAGGATCATCCCTTGATTTTGCCAAGTTGGAAGGACGTGATGGACATTAGCAAGCTACTATTAGAACAGAGTTGCCTTCTGGGGTATAATTGGTGTAAGTGCATGCTGAGAGTTGGGGGAAAGCCATGGAAAGTTTCTTTTTTTTTCTGTGACTATAAGTAGTCAGAAGGAAATTTCCCAAATTAAATGTCTTTTGTGCCTAGATGATTTGTGGCTATATCACTCTCAACTGTGCAGTAGATACATGAGCTGGCAAAACAATGTCTATGCTTATGTCAACCCTCTTCTTATATTACCCACCTCTTCTTTACCAATCTAATAACTATCCATCACTCAAAGACATATTCTTTAGAAATCTGTCCCATTCTTTCAAATCCTGTTCTCCATTAAGTATTTCCTACCTATTCAGGCCATTGTAGTTATTTATTCCTTCAATTTCAATAATTTGATTTATACCATTTGAGTATTTCATTGTTTTCTAATCATTTAATTGGAAATAGTAAGGCAAAGTGGCTAAAACTTCTGCATCCTGTATGACCTTGGATAATATATGTGATCTTTTAAAACTTCTATTAACTTAAGAAATAAATACTTATACCTCATAGGATTGTCCTGATAGGTAAATGAGAATAGTGCATGCCAAGTGCTTTACCTGGCCTGTAGCAAGTGTTCAGTAATTAGTGGTAGTAGTGGGTGGAGGTGGTGATAGTAGTGCTAATAGTTCATCCTCATTACCATCATCATCAGTCTCTTCAACTAGATTATATAACCTTTGAGGGCAGGGGCCATATCTCCTGTCTGCTTTTAACTGGTATTCCCCTGACCTCCAAAATACTCATTTGGCTAATTTGATGTCTGCTGATGATTGCTCAGCTCTTTTAATAGTACTTCCTCAAAAATATAAAATTGCATCAGTAGTATAATATTCATATTTTATCACCAACTACAGAAACCCTGTGATGCTTTTTCTTGTTCTGCATACAGGAGTAGTTTGGGTGGAAGTTGCTGCAGTAATCATATGCTCGTAGACTGAGAAGAATAGGAAACTTCTTAATCCTCTCAAACTCCTGTGGTGTGTTCCCTTGGATTAAAAAATAATAATAAAAGGAGAGAAGGAAGGGAGGGAAGGAGAGCAGGAAGGAAACACACTACAATGCCATCTGGTAAAATGCTTTCAAATTCCATGACTTCCTGCCAGTTTAAGCTATATTGTTTTCAGGCATTGAGGCCTTAACCCCCACTTGCCTATCAGACTATTTCTGTAAAGAGTTTGTCAGAGTTTGCATTGATAAATAAACTAAATACTAGAACCTTAACACAACAAATTATTTGGCATGTCATTTCTTTTCAGCTGATAATAGTAGAACTCTGAATGTAGATTCCACTGCAATGACGCTACCTATGTCTGATCCAACTGCATGGGCCACAGCAATGAATAATCTTGGAATGGCACCACTGGGAATTGCTGGACAACCAATTTTACCTGGTATGTTATTTTTAATCATCTCACAAGTTCCTTCTTTTTATTGACCATGTGGTAATAAATATACAGTATGACATAACTTATTTTGAAGTTGACATTTGCCAGATTCTGCCTAGAGTGTGCATTATTGTAATACGAGCTTTATAGGCTGGGTGACCAGTAGTTACTAGTGCACTCCTGATTGTCTTTTGGGCAAACTGGGGGCATATATGATGTAGGCTAGGGTACTGGACTAAATGTTTAAATGTTAAATACAGCTCACCAAAATAAAAAGCAACATGATTTTGGCAAATAATTACAAAGCATGTCTACTTTTGTAGATTTCTTAGATGAGTCAAAACATAGACAAGGAAAGAGAACCAACTTGAATATCTCCAAAACCTTAGATTCCCAAAAAGGACACATGGAGACTGTAGAGATATCAGCCCAAAAACTATTTTTAACATTGAATGACTTTGTTTATAACTATATATGTAAACAAAGTGACCAATAAGAGAATGGGCATGGTGGAGTAACTCCATCTCCACTGAATATGAAATCTGAAGAAAAATTTCCCAACATGTGAAGGGTTTAGTTTAGGCACACAAAAAAAGCTTCCTGGCCAGTCAGAGTTAATTAGCCATCACAAAGAGATTGGGAAGACATTAGGGAACTGACGTCTCAGGGAGCCTAGGGTAGTTTTTTCAACAGCCTAAACATTAATCTCCCAACAACCATTTAGTTGTGATCCTATTTAAAAGCACTCAGGCCACTCTAGAGTCCTGTTACTCATAGTATGTTCTGCATAATCTGGGAATTATTTAGAACCCAAGAATGTCAGGACCCAGCCCAGACCTACTGGGTCAGAAGCTGCATTTTCACAGGATCTCCAAGTGATTCACAGGCATATTCATGTTGAAAAATATAGTCATGCCACTTTTCTCTGCCATTTGTCTATCTAGTTAGTTACTACACCCCCCCTCTCAAATAATTTCTCATTTCCAGTCCAGATTTTAAATCATTATAGGTTATAATGGAGATGAGGTAGACTAGGCAACAACAATATAAATAATAAACTAAGAGATGCTATTACATTGAATGTCAGGAAACAAGCATAAAACCCCCAAACCCGAAGGGAAAAAAAAAAGGTATATGAGTGATAAATAGGCAGAGAAAAAAAAAAAAGGAGACTAAATTCTGTATGTGGCAGAGGCAAAAAAAAAAACTATCATACCAATCTTTAATTCCTATCATGGGCTATGCAGTTGGCTAGACGGCATCCTTTTCCATTAGACCAGCCATGAGAGAAATGAACAACCAGGGATTCTTTGAGGGCTAGAATGATTGGACAATGGATCTCCTTAGATTTGAAGTAACTAATGGAGCCAATCTGGAATGAGTGGGTGTTATTATAAGAGCAAGTTTTACAGAATGGTCAAGATCTTAGACTCTAGATTCAATCTGCCTGGCTTCCAAGCCTTTTTCTTTTTCAGTATTTGATGTTGGGAAGTTTCATGCATATATGGGCATATGTGTTTGTATCTGTATATACACAGAAATACATATAAATATGTAAGATTTGTACTGTAAATAGCAATGAAGGATAATGAATTTGGGAGTGAAATTTTTCCCTGGTGAAACACTGAACAGTGGCAGTTAAAGACAACATATACATCTGATGCCTGCTCCTTATGAAACTGGTGGGGACTTCCTCAGAAATGGAAGGTTGGCACCACATTTCAATGCTGCCTACACTATTTGTCAAGGTCTAGGGGAGAGGGTTCCTGCCATCTTTATGATGTATTAACCTCCCTCATCCTCTTCTCAACCCAGAGGATTCCTTAAAATCAAAAAGGCAGAAAATGACCCTTGTGGAGCTGTTCTCTGAAGTCACCTATTGGCTTAGTAATTAAGCTACTTTTCTGCCACTAGGGAAGTTTCCTACTGAGCCAGCAGACTGTTCTTTTTCCTGTCTCATCTGTCCTGTCTGTGACAATAGAAAAGGTTTTGGCATTGATGAAAAACAAATGATGCATAAGCTTTCTTGACTTCCCCCCAGAGAACTCAAATCTATACTGTCATGGATGCTGAGTCTCATGGACACACGCTTGTCATGAAGGCAATGTCTGGCATAATTATTATATTCATTGAGTAGTGAGCAGAGACAGGCCAACTCTGGGGTTTGGCATGGAGCTGTCTTTCACCTAACATGGTGTTTTGTACAGCTGTTATCCAAAGAAGTTAATCCACAGTGATGATAGATGCAATGATCCCTTCTTGCAACTATCTTTTCTGCAAGAGTATTTGTTTTGCCAAACTGGTCAAATAAGACTAATTATAGTTTTCACATGAAAAAAAGCGCCCAAGAGTCAGGTCTTCTGGTCAAAGAGCATTTTTCAGCCCCAAGTCATCCCAGATGAAACCAACCCGCAAAGGGATATTTGTTGAATAAATGAACCCACTAAGGAATATTTGTTGGATACTGCTTGATGCTTCCTTTATTTCCCCCTCAATTAAAATATCCTTAGCAACCAAGTGTGGAGCTGGTGAAGTCTCAAAAGAGAAGAGTCCCTCATCATGGTGTCCTCACTATAATGATCGCACTATAATAAGAGATAGTAGAAAATATGGACTCGTGGACCTTATTCCTAAAGCAAGACCCTGCCCATATGTGGGCATTGACTTTGTTAAGGAGAAAACTGAACTCAACTGATCAACTCTGATGAGAACAGAGAAAAAGAATGAGGTTATGTATCTCATGACAGGCCATAGTTCTTCAAGCTCCTCGAGGAGGCCTGGACTTCGGTTTATATTTTCTTTACTATCTTTCAGATAAAAGTATACTTTCAGTGCTAAATAAGATGAGGCATGAAGAACGTGTACTGTTCATTGTCATGGTGAACAATTTACAAAAACCAATACTATGTAAAACTTTATACCACATAAAATTAATATTTCCCCCAAACAAGCTTGAATCCTACCAGTACTCTCAGGACTCCTTATGTAAGGGGTTCCCACCCAAAGATATCCAATTCTTCCCCAAGATTCCATGAATACTCCTATACTTACACAAGATTAACTGAGCCATGGGGATAAACAGGAGATGGTTAACATAGTGGAAACCAGGTAGCAAGCACCCATAAAAGCTGATGCCTACACCTTTCTCCCAGGGACTGTGTTTTAGTCAGCTTTTTTTGCTGCCGAGACAAAAAGACCTATCCAAAACAATTGTAGAGGAGAAAAAGTTTATTTGAAGGCTCACAGTTTTAGAGGTCTCAGTCCATTGACAGATGGCTTCATTCCTCAGGGGTGGAGGAAAAGTTAAACAACATGGCAGAAGAGTGTGCCATAGGGAAGCAGCTCACATGATGAACAGGAAACAGAGAAAGAGAGAGATCTCCACTTGCCAGATACAAATATATACTCTAATGCCATGTCTCCCAATGGCCCACCTCCTCCAGCCACAACCCACCTTCTTTCAATTACCACTCAATCCCACCAGGTGATTAATTCACTGATTGGATTAAGGCTCTCACAACCCAATCATCTCCCTTGAGCTTTTGAAGGACACCTCACATCCAAACCACAACAGACTGTTACACAAAAATAGATATTGTGGTACTCATTATCAGTCTGCGCATGTAAATGCTGTGGAGCTGTTTTCATGTGGAAATATTTTATATTATTTAAAACATTTACAAGAATACATGAAGCTTGCGGCTGGGGATGTGGCTCAAGCGGTAGCGTGCTCGCCTGGCATGCATGCGGCCCGGGTTCGATCCTCAGCACCACATACAAACAAAGATGTTGTGTCTGCCAAAAACTAAAAAAATAAATATTAAAAATTCTCTCTCTCTCTCTCTCTCTCTCTCTCTCTTTAAAATAAAAAGAATACATGAAGCTCAATGGCTGGAGGATCTTTGAGATAAGGATTACATGGCCTTAACTACCTGATAGGCCTTAACTAAATGATAGAAAAAGACATTTAAAAAAAAAAAACTCCCCATGGAAACTATTAGGAAAGGTCTGAGTGAAACTGTCTATTCATTTATTCATAAAAGAAATATTTCCTGAGGCCTGCTGTGTGTAAGATACTGGGTGACCCCTGGGGAGAAAGCAGTGAACAAAATAGTCAATGATTCCTGCCCTCATACTGACCCATATTTTCTCCCTTAAAAAAAAAATAACTTTTCTCAGGTATGAGCTGCCTGCTGACTGACAATAGCTCTAAAGCCTCCCATCTGTTTTGTTCATTTGTTCTTACATCCAAGCATCTGTTCATTAATATATATATATATATATATATATATATATATATATATATAGCCAGTCACGGTGGCATGTACCTGTAATCCTAGTGACTCAGGAGGCTGAGGAAGGAGGATCACAAGGTCAAAGCCAGCTTCAGCAACTTGGTGAGGTTCTAAGTAACTTAGTGAGATTCCATCCCATTTCAAAATAAAAAGGGCTGGGGATGTGCATCAGGGGTTAAGCACTCCTGGGTTCAATTTATATATATACATAAATAGATACTGGGGCACTCATTAAAATATTTTTAAATATTTTATTTACCAAATATATATGTATACATATATATATATATAATTTACCATATATATTATATATACATATATATGTACATACATATGTATATTATATATTATATATATGCATATATTATAGACAGACTAGGTCAGGGTGATCCAAAATGGGTATGGTTCAATCCTTGCCTTCAAGCTCAGAGTTCAGGTGCTGAGGCAACAAAATAAATACCAGTATACTTCAGTGTATCAAGTATCAGAGTAAAATCTTGCACAAAATAATTTTAGCCAGGGTAGAGTAGGGAGTGTTAAGTAAATGGTGGTGCTCAGAGTGAGGTTCACAGAAGAATTAACATTTGAACTAAGTGTCCAGGGACATATAGGAGTATCGTGGGGATAAAGAACTAAGAATAGTCTAGGCATCAATGACTGGAAGGTGTGGAAGAGTAGATAGTATGGAAGCAATGGTTACCTACTGAGTTG